TTGTGTGATAATCACATGATTATCACATCCATATCACATGATTAACCGTTTATTAGATAATGATAATCATGATCGTGTAATCGTATTAAAAGATTTTATGATATCATTTCCATTATTACCCTTTTAATTTTAATATTTTTTGAATCTTTCTAAATTTCAATTTTAGTTTTAAAAATCTTTTAATTTTATTTTTTATCACAATATGTGGTTATTGGATTGTTCTCGCATTCTCGTAAATCACAGGGGTTCTCGTTTGAACCCTTCCCTATATATATATATATATATATATATATATATATATATATATATAAAGTAGGCATGACTTGCAAGTCTTGCTCTTAGCTTGGAACCTGCCTACGACTAGGTCATGTATTGGCCATTGATCCACATATTAGATATTCAAGATCAGAGGCGAAACACGAGCCTTCTAACAGAAGGAGCCAAAACAACCTAAGTCGATTGCAAATAGTTCGAGTTTCGGCTTGAAAAAATAATAGATAAAATTCAAACTATATAAGCTCGTTTATGGGGTCGAACTCGAAATCGGTTAACTTGTTTTTCGGTTCATTAAGCTAAACAAGTTTATTTTTTAATGTTTGAGATCAACTCAATTTTGAAAATTATTAAGTTCGCGTAGCTCGTTAAAAGCTTGAATTGTTAACGTACACTCTTAGACCGAACCGGATCTTCTTATACGTATGTATTACAAGTCATTGTGTGAGCCAAAAAATGACCCATCACATTCGCGTCCTTGGAGGCAAGTTCCGTATAGGGTCGGTTAGGGTTGTCGTTAATCAATTTTTTTTGTCCAAATATGTTTTACATAAATGACTCTAATTTACTTCAATATAATAGATACATATCTTAAAAATCACAAAACCACTTAAATTTATACCTCTCATGAGATATTGACTAAAGGTATACGACAAGATTCCAAATTTTGATTTTCACAATCTAAAACATTAAATAATCCAATCAAAGGTAATAACTAAAATGGGTATTACTGCCCAAAAACAAAGGCAAAAACTTATAGAGAATATCAAGAAAAAGCAAGCGACTGGAAATATGAAATGCTTGGACATGCACTTGGATGGGTAAATAAGGACTCAATCAATGAATAGATGATGTTTGAAGGGGTCATTGTCAAAAACTTAAAAAATTAAACTTGTTTTGGAATCTAATTTGTTAAGTAGGAAGAAAAGCAGGGGGCCTTGGCCCCCCAAAGCCCCTATTGAGCTCCGCCTCTGTTTAAGATATTGCATCGTTGGGCATGTTGAAATGGACATGAAACTGGTGCGGATTTGATAGGATCAACGTGTTCTAATATATATATATTATAAAATAGCTATTCAACTTTGGAATTTTGATTTTTACGGTGGTTTAATTAATTCAAGGTTTTGAGTTACATTTTAGCCCTTGAATTTTGTAAATGTAATTTTGACTTAATTTCAATCATTTAAGTTTTCATAGACTAATAAACAAGCTTTAAACTTTATAAAATGACATTTTGATTGCTATTTCAATCATTTGAGTTTTTGGGATTAATGAAAAACCTTGTAGAGTTTATAAAGTCATGTTTTTGACCATGGTTCAAGATCTAGTGACATTTTAGTCACGAGAACCCAAATTTGTGAAATATATATTTAGCCCATTATAGTTTTTTGTTTAAATATATTTCGGCAACCCCGAGGATCCCTTTATTCACTATATAGCCATATAAGTTGTAAAAATAATAATCCAACCACTAAAAATACCGATTTATCATGTAAATTAGTAAGGTATTGGATAAAATACAAAATTCGGAACGTGTTATATGAAATACAAACAAACCATGTAACAAAAAAAATGGGGCATTTTTGTGGATTTTGTATGATTTATAATAAAGAATGATATAAGAGAACATTGGGATAGAATGTTAAGTTTTAGGCATGTTTCAGTGTCGATGAAGTTAACTCATTTATCTTACAAACGTTTAGAAGTTGAAAACTTGATAGAATACTTATTCTTAAGTGATATATATGGTTTTAAATGAAGGAGTTGGAGTCATACATCAACTAAACTTAGACCATTTCTCCTGTATATATGTTGGAATCTTTCATTTTTTCTCAATGGCTCTTTTCAAGAGTGATATAGGGGTTTCATATATTTTCACATGGTATCAGAGCTAAGGTCTGCCACTCTAGGGATTCGATACTCTGGTTAGCCCCTTTCAACATTCTAGGACAATCTATGTCCATCTTGCCTCTGCTAGAGGGAGCATTGGAGTCTCACATCGGTTAGACCTACTATTTCTCCTATATATATGTTGGAAGCTCTCATTTCTCCTAAAGGGCTTAGTTTGAAGAGTGATATAGGGATTCCACATATTCTCACAAGGGAAGCATAGGATCAGTACATAAGAATCTAGTTGTTGGATAAGAAAGATAATAATATAAGCAAACCCAAATCATAAACAATGAATACAAAAATTTCAAAGTTTAATAATAGTCCTTTTTTGTTAACTTCTCACTTACAATTCAAAAAATGTTTTGGAGAAAAACAACAGATCAACAAGTGATAGATTGTCTAAGCAGTTTCCAACCTTGAGAAATGTTAACCTAAATCACTTGTACAATATTTAACTCACTCGGTCCTAGCCCGATTTCTACCCAGGTAGGGTGGAAGGAACAAGTTGTTGTATCGAGGGTGTAAATTTGGATGTTGATGTGCTAGACATTGCATCTGTAAATACTAAGTGGTAACTCATGCAAATATAAAGGATTTTGTTGTTATCCTTTCCTTATCTTCCTTACCTTTTATTTCTCCTATTTTTTCTATTTCTTGATCTTTATCTTCTTTGAGAGTTTTTCTTATTTTATTATAATTAGGATTGTTTCCTTATTTGATTGTCATTAGGATTGTTACTCCTATTTAAAGGACCAAGCTCGTTTAATGAAATTTAAGTTTTCGGTCCATAAAAGTTTTTATGGTATCAGAGCAAGGATTGATTGATCCATCTCAAACATCAATGACGCCATGGCCGGAGATAACGTGGCACCGCCACCGAAGAACGATGGAAACACCATCGATTCTAATTCTCCATATTATATTTATTGCTCTGATTATCCAAGGCAGATGCAGGTAAACGATGTTCTCTCTGACAACAACTATGGAGATTGGGTTCAAGAGATGAAGAATTTTTTGTTCGCAAAGAACAAAATCGGTTTCGTTAATGGTTCAATTAAAAGGACATAAGAGGAATCGACACAATATATGTTATGGATGAGATGTGATGCTATGATAAAGGGATGGTTGACTACAACCATGGAGAAGGATATCAGATCAAGCGTCAAACACGCCAACACCGCTGCGGAGATATGGTCCGATCTTGAAAAAAGATTTGGTAAGGAAAGTGCTCCTCGAGCATATGAACTAAAACAGACCTTGACCACCACGGCTCAGAACGGTGCATCTGTTTCAGCCTATTACACCAAGATGCGAGAACTATGGGACGAAATACAAATTGTGTCACCAACACCTTATTACACCTGCAGAAGGTGTACATGTGATGCTGGAAAAGGACTAAACGAAGCAAAAGAAAAGGAGAGGCTCTACGAGTTTTTGATGGGACTTGATAATGAGTTTGCTACGATTAAGACTCAGACTCTTGCCTCGAAACCAACTCCTACGCTTGGCACTGTTTATCATCTAGTCGCTAAAGATGAACAACAAAGAGCTATTGCGGCCACAAGAAGACCCATACATGAGGCTGCTGCCTTTCAAAGCTTTGCTCAGAACAGAAGGGAAGGAACCAATGACTCAACACCACAGCGTAATAAAGGCGGTACGAAGGAGGCAAGATGCAACGACAATGATGAAGTTGAAAATTGTACCTTTTGTGGTAGAACGGGACATAATAAAGATGGTTGCTTCAAGCAAATTGGCTATCCCGAGTGGTGGCCTGGAAAAGGAAAAAAAGAAAAAGGTCGACCCAAAGCTGTGTTTGCCAACACTGAAACCACACAAGTACCCATAATGACGAACGAACAATATCAGGAGCTACTCAAGCACTTCAAGAACACTAACAAAGAAGGTGTAGGACCCGTCGGTAACATGGCTGGTAAGGATGATGGAAATAATTCATGGATTGTTGATACAGGTGCTACGTAACACATGACTTGTGATCTGAATCTACTTGAAAAAAGGGTAGATTGCAATCATGAGGCACCTGTCACCATACCAAATGGAGATTCCATTCCAGTTAAAGGAAAAGGGAATTGCAATTTCCCAAACATAATTAGAATTGGGAATGTGTTATTCATCCCTGGTTTTAAATGTAACTTGCTCTCTATCAGTCGAATAACCACAGATTTGAACTGTGCAGTAACTTTTTACCCTGATTTTCGTCTTATACAGGGCTTACTCGAGAAGAACTTGATTGGCATGGGTAAGTGCAAGGGTGGTCTCTATCGAATCGATTCAGTAGCAGAAAAGAAAATGGCAATGATGGCTGGACCCGATATTGAAGTTTGGCACAAAAGACTTGGTCACACTTCAGACTCCAAGTTACGTTATTTTGAGTTTTTAGAAAATCTTGTTCCTAGGTCAAATAATAGTGTTTGCGATTCATGTGTAAAGGCAAAACATACCAGACTTCCTTTTCCTAAAAGTTCTATTAGAACGATTGAATGTTTTGATTTACTTCAATGTGATATCTGGGGAAATTATCGAACTCCTTCGCTCACAAGGGAACGCTATTTTTTGGCTGTGGTTGATGATTTTAGTAGAGCTGTTTGGGTGTTTTAGCTTAAACACAAATCAGAAGCAAGCAATCATCTGATCAACTTGTGCAATATGATCAAAACTCAATTTGGAAAAGAAGTTAAAAGAATAAGGAGCGACAACGGAGGAGAATTCACCTCGGGCTTCATAAGTGATTTTTATGCTTCCAAAGGTATCATTCTTGAGACTTCTTGTCCAATCACCCCGCAACAAAATGGTGTCGCGGAACGAAAACACATACATCTTCTTGAGATACTAGCGCCTTAAGATTTGAGGCTAACTTACCCATCAAATTTTGGGGAGATTGCATCTTAATAGCCACTTACATCATAAATAGGCTTCCTTCCAAAGTCATAAACTTTAAAACTCCTTTTGAGGTTCTTTTTAAGCAAAAACCAGCATATGACCACATGAAGATTTTTGGTTGTTTGGTATATGCTAGAAACATATAAACGAAGGGAGATAAGTTTGAAGTGAGGGGGAGGCCTGAGGTCTTCAACGGATACCCTCAAGGACAGGAAGGATATCGTATATATGACATTGATACACACAAAATCACTGTCTCAAGGGATGTAAAATTTGTAGAAAACGAGTTTCCTTTTATGGTGACCAAAGACAAAGTAAAAGAAGATTGTGCAGAGATAAGGGAAAATGATTGGGAAATTAAAGATACAACCACTGATGACGCCTTTCATACCTCAAAAAATATCGATGATGGCGTTGAAGTTGAAGAAGCAAGGGAGAGTATTGAAGAAACTAATGAGGAGTTGACCACAGATGCTTAAGTTGTACTCGAAGACCCTGTGAACGACCCTGTGACCCAAGACACAGAAACAACTACACAAGGTCAAAGAGAGAAAAGGAATAGAGCACCACCGAAACGTTTTGAAGATTTCATCGTCAAGCTACCACTTTCGATAGACCACACACGACCCACAAGCCATCAAGCTTCTTCGACGGTACATTCTATCTCACTATCTTTCTTCTGACAAATTTTCTGATAAATATAAGGCTTTCTTGTCTGCAATTAGCTCCAACAATGAGCCAAAACATTTTAAGCAAGCTATGCAAGATGAAAAATGGGTTACGGCAATGAAAGATGAAATCAAAGCCCTCGAAAACAATGGTACCTAGACCCTTGAAAACTTGCCTGAGGGTAAACGAGAGCCATCGATTCCAAGTGGGTGTATAAAATAAAATACAAACCAGATGGTGAAATCGAAAGATATAAGGCGAGATTGGATGCAAAAGGATTCACACAAATGGAGGGTGTCGATTTTCATGACACTTTTGCCCCTGTTGCTAAATTGGTAACAATCAGTATACTCCTTGCTGTTGCAATCAAGAAGGATTGGATTGTACATCAACTCGATGTGAATAATGCCTTCTTGCATGTCGACCTCAAAGAAGAAATCTATATGAAAATTCCATATGGTTTTTCAAGAAAAGAAGAAACACGGGTTTGTAGATTGCGAAAATCTCTTTATGGTCTTCGTCAGGCATCTTGCAACTGGTACCAAAAGTTCACTTTGGCACTTATTGGATTGGGATTTCGACAAACCCATGCTGATGCCTCTTTATTCATATTCAACAATAATGATGTTTTTGTTGCTGCCTTGATTTACGTTGATGATGTCATTATTGTCGGTAACAGTGCCTCAAAGATACAAGAAGTAAAGTCCTTTCTCGATCAAAAGTTCAGCATTAAGGAGTTGGGTCTGTTGAAATATTTCTTGGGAATAGAAGTAGCACGTACACCTGATGGTATTGTGCTTAGTCAACGCAAGCACACATTTGATATTCTTGAAGACAATGGTTTAATGGGATGTCGTCCGAGCTTGTTTTCGATGGAACAAAATTTACAGTTGGATCAAGGTCATGACAGTCCCAAGGTAGATGGTTGCCAATATCGTCGTCTTGTTGGAAGAATGCTTTATCTCCAAGCTACCAGACCAGACATTGCTTATTCAGTCAACATGCTTAGTCAGTTTGTATCTGATCCTCGACAATGTCACATGGATGCTGCAGTCAGAATCCTACGTTACCTAAAGACCACTCCGAGTCAAGGAGTTGTTATACCAAAGGAAGGAGGTCTTGATCTTATAGCCTATTGTGACTCAGATTGGCTTGAATGTGCTTTTACACGACGATCTCGTTCAGGTTACTTGCTACTCCTAGGTGGAGCACCCATCTCTCGGAAAACAAAGAAACAAACAGTTGTCTCGAGATCTTCCGCTGAAGCCGAGTATAGGGCTATGGAAACAACTGTTAGTGAAGTTTTGTGGGTTTGTTGGTTACTTGGAATTCTGTAGGCACCTCAAACTAGTGTTACACCTCTTTTCTGTGACAATCAAGCGGCTCGACATATTGCTAATAATCCTGTTTTTCATGAAAGGACTAAACACGTTGAAATGGACTGCTACTTTGTCCGTGAGCGTGTTGAATCACAGGAAATCAAACCTCTCATTGTTGACACGAAAGTACAAGTGGCTGACATCTTCACTAAGGCATTGGGCGCAGATCAATTACGCAAGCTACTTGACAAGTTGGACATTCGAGACTTACATGCTCCAACTTGAGGGGGAGTAAAGGATTTTGTTGTTATCCTTTCCTTATCTTCCTTACCTTTTATTTCTCCTATTTTTTCTATTTCTTGATCTTTATCTTCTTTAAGAGTTTTCCTTATTTGATTATAATTAGGATTGTTTCCTTATTTGATTGTAATTAGGATTGTTACTCCTATTTAAAGGACCAAGCTCGTTTAATGAAATTTAAGTTTTCGATCCATAAAAGTTTTTAAAGTATACATGTTTCAACACTATCACATTTTTCAAGTATTGAAATGGCAAGCCTAAGTATCGTATTCCACAAGCATAGGTATGTTAAGTCGTCGAATCTCAAGATGACAGATTAACTTCAAATGGTGAATTTGAAGAAATCTTTTTGATGAGGGGGTTTATAATTACTGATGTGAACAAGTGATAAAAAGAAGCGTAGGGTGTAGGGATCTATTAAGATATTTAACCGAATAAAGTAGACAGAATACTACAACATAACTCGTCTTTGACCAACCAATAGCTTCTATAAGATATTATCTCGAGATTTAGAACGACACATATTCATAGACGTGACCTCCATATCTCTATGTAAGTATAGAGTCTCGATAATGGATAAAACTTTCCTTATATAAGCTAAATGGAACGAAAACGAGTCTCCTTAATTCTAAGTAGCTACTCGAGACTACTTCCAACACGTTTTAAGACTTCTAAACAAGTGATCAAATTGTCTATGAATGTTACTTTGCAATATAAACTTGAAAGATGTGGTTGGAAAGACTAGTTAATTAACAACTTTTACTACCAAAAAGATCGTTTTAATCTTAACATTACCCCACACACTATATTTAGCATACCATACTCGAAATAAAAGAACTAATAGCATAAAACATAAGATACATCAAAGAAATTAAAGTACAAGAATATAAAATACAATAAAAGAAAATGCTTTAATTAAGAAAATTAAAGACTCAAAAACTTTCTTGAAACTAGAGAGAATGACTAAAGATACTCCCGAAGTTCCATTACATTTGAATTATTTTGGAACATTTCGTTTCTGAGCAGAAGAGCAGCCAAAAAATGTCCAATACCTCTTCTTTTATATACCAGGAAAAGGAGACATAACGACCAAAAGATAAAGCTTTTATCTAACTTTTACAAAAGCCAAAGGATAAGTCACGATGCATAAAAGAGGGTATAAGGATATGAGATCAATTTTGTACTATAAGATCCTCAAATCTGTAGTAGACTAACTGTAAATGAGCTAGATAAGATCATAAAAAGATTCACCTACTTTTACTAAAAAAACATCCAAATCACCTTGAAGTCCATGACGTAGCATACTTTCAACATCCCTTTCCAAAACCTTGATTCTTAATTCAAAAAGTCACCAAACTAAATTGTTTCTTCTTCCAAACTCCATAAATAAGAAAAATATAAAATAATAATGAAAAAAAACTCAATTCATCTATTTAAGGATGTAAAACACAAAAGAAAAGTGGGAAATTTATATCATATTATCAATATAAATAATACTCATCAGATGTCACTGATTACAAGAATGAAAAATTTTACGAAATATTTGACTTATGATAGCTTTATTTGTCATGCATTGATACTCACGCCCATTATTTGGTCTTATTCTTGAAAAGCTTGGAGGAGTACAACCATGCAACTTGGTTTATCCTTTGTGCAAGGACCATACAATCGTCCATTGAAGATCTTCTTTGTTTCTTCATGATATGGTTCCAACGTGTTTTTTAGATGAGTTTTCGCCCATAATGCATTAAATGTGAACCTTGTTGTAATAAATGCAAGTCACATCGTATTTAATGCTATTAAAGGTAAGCATACTTGTTATACATATCGTGCTGCCTTTGCCCGCTTATTTGTAGCTTCATGTGCCTATTGGTTTGCAGTGATAGTGTACTGTTGTTCTTTTTTATGTCGACTAAGACAAAATCATCCGTTGATAGAGCTTCAGTACTTGGCTTCATCATCTAAGAACCTGCCCATTTGACAATGCCTTCCTCAAAGCTTCTCGATAGATTGCCAAAATTCAAAATCTCTAACAAGTTACATCCAACTCCAACAACTACTCTAGTTCAAAGATTCCAATATTAATTATATTATTAAAATATTCTATAAATCCATCACCCCGATACACTTTTAAAAAACTTTATAAAATTATCACACATTCAACTTCATTGGTGGAAATAATTAAAATAGTATATGTCTTTCTTTAATATCAAGATTTTAGAGATTTCTATATTTATTTATTTCTTTTCTCTATTTTAGCATAGACATCATAGAAAAACTCTTAAATCTCCAAAATCCATAGTTTAGCATGTTCTTCGTTGCTTGAGATCTATTCATGAATTGGATGGTGTGTGTCGATCAGGTGTTAATGTTTTCCACTAAAATTTTCATCAGGTACTGATCATCTTTAGAAACACAACCATTGGTTAGGCATTATCCACCGATAACCATTTATCTTCTTACATTGATTTAGCATATTTGTCTCTATGGCTGAAATCCCGCCAATGACTAAACTTCATGGCAAGTGGTTGATCCATCATGTATTAGGATTTTGATTCATGTTTGACCCCTCAGTGCTAGCAGCTCAGCCGTCAACCATATTTGACTACATGTTTTATTAGTATTTGATTATCATAAAGTCTTTTATATATATTTGGGGCTCAACAATCTCTCCCTATTATGCCAAAACCTGTCTACTAAATTAAGTACACACTTCGGAGTTAAATTTAATATACTAAAAAATTAATAAAGACATGACCCTTAAATTTTTGTATGGTTTAAAACAAGCCCCTAAACAATGACATGAAAATTTTGATTCTGCTATATTAACAAGTGGTTTCACTCATAAATTCAACAGATATATGCTTATATTCTAATGTTACAAAAGATTATTGTGTTATTGTATGCCTTTATGTTGATAATATGTTAATCATTGGAACAAACATGAAAGGTATAAATGAGACCAAGGCTTATTTAAGTTCATGTTTTCAAATGAAAGACTTAAATGAGATTGATACAATATTAGGTATCAACGTTAAAGAAAATAGTAGGGGTTATTCTTTAAATGAACGTCACAATATTGTGAAAATGCTAACTAAGTTTGTGCATTTAAAATTTAAAGAAGCTAACACCCCATATGATTCTTCTTGTAAACGTAGTAAAAATTGTGGAAGAGTTGCAACTCAACTTGAATATGCTAGTGCTACTGGTAATCTGATGTATGCTACACATTGTACTAGACCTAATATTGCTTATGGTGTTTGCAAACTTTCGAGATTTACTAGTAATCATAGTCTAGAACATTGGGAAGCTTTTGGGAGAGTGTTTCGACATTTAAAGAGGCCAAAGAAGCTAGCTTTACACTATGATGGAAACTTTCCTGCAATGCTAGAAGAGTATTCTAACGCTAGTTGGATAACTGGTAATGGTGATAATAAATCCACAAGTGGTTGGATTTTTATGCTTCGGTGGTGGTGCTGTTTTTTTAGGCCTCAAAGAAACAGACTTGTATAACTCATTCCACCATGGAATCTGAAATTTTAGCCTTAGCAGTGGCAGGCAAAGAAGCAGATGGCTTAGAAATATGTTATTGGATATAAAAGTTGTGGCCACAACCGATGTCAGCCATTTCTTTGCATTGTGATAGAAAGGCGACCTTGTTTAGAGCATATAATAAGATTTATAATGGAAAATCTAGACATATAAGTTTGAGACATGCGTATGTGAGAGAGTTAATATCCGAAGAAATAATAATAGTTACCTGTATAAGAACTAGTAATAATTTGGCTGATCCTTTTACCAAAGGACTCTCAAAAGATATGGTATTTGGAACAAGCCATGAAATGAGATTAAGACCTATTTGATTAGTTGGTAACAATGGAAAACCAACCTTTTCTCTAAGTATACCCTCAGATAAAAGGTTCAATGTGGTAATAACAGCTGTTTATTTCACCTATATGAACACAAGAGGTGGTGCCGCTTCTAAACAAAAGTTTGGGTCGAGTTTTGTAAGCGTTCATGAATCCAGGATGAGCACATGGCCGTAATGGTGTTATATGTTTATGAACATATCTTGACAATCAATTGTATGTGTGATTATTCCGGTTTTAATATATAAATCTTGGCTCGAAAGCTATAAGCTGCCATAGATTTAGTTAGAACCTTAAGTAGTTTACACCAAGTTAAAGTTCAAATCAAAAGATACCTCTACTTATGGTAGTTGATTTTACTGAATGAAGACTAAATGGGGGATTGTTGAATATATAATCTTCATAGTGAGATTCATTGTGAGATTTTGTCCCACATAGGAAAATCAGTAGAATCTTACTTATACTGATAGCTATATATGTGTGTGTGTGTGTATACATACATACATACATACATATATATATATATATGTGAGTTGAGTCATATCACTTATCTCACATTGGTAGAGTGATAAATTCTTCCTTAGTTTATTATTTTTAAACAACTTGTAGAGTTGTTTAAGAGATCAAGTTAGCTAAGGATGGTTCGGCCTTGTGTGAATTTTACACATATATTAAATGGTCAAAAGATAACACTAACACTAGCACATTGAGCGTATGTGACTACCTTTTTTCTGACCGTTTTTGACAGTTTGTTCATGATTTTCTGATTCGGATAAAGCCGAATGTTGGCTACTTCTTATCCACAATCAATTGTTAACACAAACCTATTTATATGTGTGATCATTTCATCATTCTCTTTCTCTCTTAATCCTCTTCTTCTCTTCAATAATAATTCTGCATATATTCATGGAAGATATATTATGTTGTAGAATATATCTTATATGGTTAGAGAATCCTAGGGGTATCATAGCCTATAACCCAAACAACCTTGCTAGTGAGGGCTATTAATATCCTAAAGACAGTGATTCTCACGTCCTAATCATTTTGATTTAGTGCATTTATTCTCCTACAATCCTATTTTATAACAGAAAGTGACGAAATACCCTGATCTGCTGGTTCAAAACGAACCCAAATACTTTGTTGTATCGGGTAGTGTCCATTGTTGCCCCCTCAATCCCGCTCAATGCAAATAAAACAGGGCCAAAGAAATGTGTATACCATCATGACTGCCAAAGAATGTACTTAATTTTCAACACGTAACCATTAAGCTGCTTTTATATATAATATTGATAAAGATGTAAAATGAAAATGTATGGATACAAAACAAATTAATCCATATGTATTCATAATATTTAATAGAATTATTAAATCAAAAAAATATTTAATATTAGGCTCAATTTGAATATATTGATGAGACGATTATTATAATATATAATTTATAAAAAAAAACGTATTTTCTAAATGCATTTCACTTCATATACGATTATTTATGTTAATATGATAAGGATGATAAATAAAAAATGGAAAAGTAGGGAATATAAAGTAAATCAAATCACTAATTATAAGAGCATATAATGTAATTTTGAAATTAAAAATGATTTGAAGGAACACGCAAGAGGTTGTATTTTGTAAGCTCTATTCTTCATTTATTGTACCTCTTAAAGTAACCGTAAAAAAAAAAAATTTGAACGGCCAAGATTGAATCGACGGATTATTAACTCATTTTTTTCTTATTAACCTGGATATCTAACTCGCTATGTGAGGCTGTGAGCCGACTAATCCCAGAACGACTATCTGCTTTACAGATAGACTGAAGTTACCACATTTGAACTTACATGACCACAAGGGAATTAACTAAAACTAATTGCGGTCAATATTATATAATTTGAAACCATGGGCTTTTCCCTTGAAATCTTGAAAAAGAGAATATTTAATATCGGCCCATTTGGTTCCTTCACTGGGCTCCCCCTCGGCCCCTCATCGACGAGCAGCAACATGCGACATCTTTCCGCCGCTCGCAGCTCTCTGGTCTCCATCTCGGCTCTCTGCACAGGTTTGGGTTCCTGAATATCTGAACATTTCAAATTTGAACTGTGATTTTGCTTGTTTGAACTTTGATTTTGTTTGTATCGTATGTATAAATGCACCGACTGTGAAATGTGAATGTAGTCATCGAATTATTCATGCAGACAGGATACTCTTCCAGAAATATTCAATCTACAGACTTTTGGCACTTAGAAAAGGAATGAACTTCTCAATTTTCAGTATTGTTTTAAGGTACAAATGGGACCTGAAGTTCTTGGTTCAATTTTGCATCAATGCTCCAAAATAAGATCATTCCGACCCGGGGTTTCTCTTCATGCTGCTGTTGTCAAGATGGGTCTTGAATCTGATGTTATTATCTCGAATCATGTTCTCAATATGTATGCAAAATGTGGGAAGATTGAATTTGCCCGCCAAGTGTTTGACAGTATGCCTGAAAGAAACCTTGTTAGTTGGTCTGCTATGATTTCTGGTTATGATCAGGCAGAAAAACCTTTAAAGGCAGTTGAACTTTTAGCCCGAATGAAAGTTGATCAGGCAAATGAGTTTGTGTTTGCTAGTGCGATTAGTGCATCTGCTAGTCTCTTGGCAGGCAAGATCGGTAAACGTATTCATGCACAGTCGGTAACTCTCGGGTATGCAGATGTTTCTTTCGTTTCTAACTCACTTGTATCTATGTACATGAAATGTGGGCAGTCTACTGATGCATTGTCGGTTTTTATGAGCATTTATGAACCAAATGCCGTTGCATATAATGCCGTTATTTCGGGGTTGATTGAGAACAAACAAGTTCAGAAAGCGTTCGAGATGTTCAGACTTATGTGCCGAAAAGGTCTAGTTCCAAATCGGTTTAGTTTGGTGGGTCTTTTAGGAAATTGTTCGACTCCGAATGATGTTCGGATTGGGTTGGAATTGCATTGTCTAGCCATCAAACTCAACCTTGATTCCACTGCTTTTGTTGGCAATGTGTTAATTACAATGTACTCAAAGTTTAATTTGATAGAGGAATCCGAGAAGATCTTCTGGTCGATTGAGGAAAAAGATACGATTTCATGTAATACATTAATTGCCGCCTGTTCTCATGCCCTCGATCATTCAAAGGGTTTAAGCATCTTCAAAGAGATGTTAAAAAATTACGGTTTGACTCCTGACAACTTCACTTACACCAGTGCCCTTGCCGCGTGTTCAGGCCTTTCTTCCTCTCATTTTGGCCGCCAAATTCATGGTAATTTAATCAGAACAAAATTAAGCCATGATGTGGGTGTTGCTAATTCACTTGTAAATATGTATGCAAAATGCGGTTCCATACAACACGCGGTTACTGTTTTTGATCGGATGGCATTCCGTAATCTTGTTTCATGGAACACCCTTTTGGCTGGATTCGCAAATCATGGGTTAGGGAAACAAGCTATTGAAATTTTCAAGCGAATGAAGGAGTTAAACGTGAAACCTGACTCAATCACATTTGTTTCCCTTTTAGCAGCTTTGAATCACTCGGGACTCCTTAACGATGGTAAATTCTACCTAAATGAAATGCAGGAAACTTACGGAATTCCTCCAAACGTCGAGCATGTTTCTTGCATTGTAGATTTATTAGGCCGAGCCCGAAGAGTAAAAGAAGCTGAAGAGTATATGGAAAGATTTTCTTTTGCAGAAGATCCAGTTGTTCTTGGATGCCTACTGTCTGCTTGTCGAATGCACGGTGATCTTGTTATCGGCAAGCGAACGGCTAAACGGGTTTTAAAGATTCAAGAAATCTCTACTTCACCTTATGTGTTATTGTCTAATCTATATGCTTCTGAGAGTTTGTGGGATGGGGCAGCAGAGGCAAGAAAGCAGTTGAAAGACAGTCTACTGAAGAAAGAACCAGGCCATAGTTTGATTGAAGTTAAAGGGATTGTGGAGAAGTTCACCGTTGGCCGGATTTCGCATTCGAGAATAGAAGAGATCATCGACATGCTTAAAGTTTTGAGCTTCTCAGAGGACGAGGTTTGTTGCTTTCACTAATACTTTATCGATACAAATGTTCTTGATTCTGCGTTAATTGTTTGTGTTCATATGATGAAAAAAATCTGTGTGAATTTTTTTGGTTCATAGAGTGAAATGAAAAATCTTGATGCATGTCGTAGTCGTTTAAAAGCTTGAAACTTGAGATCAAAATGTCTATCTTTTGTTTGTAGGATTTAATGAACATGTTCGACTCGTTAAGTTATACGTGTTCTTATTTTTTGTTTGAAATCAACAAGTCTCGAAGGAAATATGTGCATAGGACGCAGGCCTTGCACATAATGCCTCCATCCTATGCTGATACAACGGTTAAGATCTGAAATCATGATCACGACTGTGATTTGATATAGTAGTTATCGTGGAGGTATAGAGGTCAAAAGTAGCGGTTAATATAATAATTAGAAGAGTAAATTACAATCTTATGGGTTGTTATAAATTGAGACTTTCGTCCCGGTGGTTTTGAATTTGCGGTTTTTGTTCTTTTGGTATGCAATTCATTGCTATTTTGGAACCTACGATTAACTCCTTTTTCAAGTATGGTGGACTAAAACAATAATGAATTCTGAAGGACAAAAATAACAATAAATTGTAAATCATAAAGACGAAAATAACAATAAATTGTAAACCATATGAATGCAATCGTAATTTCAAAAATACAAAGACGAAAATAGCAATTTTCAACAACCCAATTTGGCAGTCAAACACCCATAACTAAAAATGTGCTACTAACTGAAAAGAAATATTTGAGTCTCAATAACTTATGAAACTCAAAAAACTAAATTTCAGCTTCAAAAATGACATAATTTCAAAATATTTTTAAGCAGCTTCGAAACTCAGAAATCGTGAACTTCAAAAATCTTAAAAGGGCTGTTCGTTTAAGTCTTAATAGTTTCATTAAGAGGCAACATCTGAATTGCTTAAGAGATGAATCTTATTTGACAAAAAAAAGTATGCCTCTTAATGGTCGTACAACTCTATAAATGATTTTGTATCTTGGGTCTCTTTGAACCATTCAGCGTCCTAATTTTTATTTGAACAATTATCAAACAAGTATATTTCATTTTACATTACACCATAAAAGTCTTTTAATTTTGACCAATTAATTTTATGTACGAGACCATTCAATAAATGTTAAACAATCCTTCTAAATCTAAAAGAGCTCTATACCTGAAAAAAAGGATCCCGACAATTTGAGCCCAAGACCCAAATTGCTATACCTTGTCATGTTAGAAAAAGTAGAGGAAAGAATTTACCGTAATAGTCAATGATAATAAGTGTGTATATATATATATATATATATATATATATATATATATATATATATATATATATTTGGGATCATGTGAAATCAAAAGTTTTTCATGACATTGTAAAACCAATTTTCAAACCCTTGGATTAGATCTACAATCTGAACATTCATAATTACAAAATTGTCATGAGACTTCTCAATAATCACAAAATTACCACTGTACAATTTTAGACTATTAGATCATTATCTTATAAAGTTAATCAATGAACATAAATTGGTCTTACGGGTCTCACCAAAAACTCTTGGTCTCACGTGAACCCAACCCTATATATATATATATATATATATATATATATATATATGGTATATTTCTTTTACAACCTTGTGCATTTGTACAACCTTTGCAACCCAATTAATTGAGATATTTATAGAAATGATTAGA